GTAGAAGTATACGAAGTCAATGTACAAAGCTTTTTTATTCTTCTTTGTATTTTTTAATCTATTTATTACAAGAGAAAGTAACTCCAATAAATGTTTTGTAACATATACGAGATCATCATCACTACATAGTATAAAACAAAGTCATCCCGCTGTCTGTCTGTCCCTATGTACGCTTAGATCTTTAAAACTACGCAACGGATCTTGATTCGGATTTTTTACTAGATAGAGTGATTCAAGAGGTTCATATGTATAATAAACTAACCCGTACGATGCCGGGGCGGGTCGCTAGTTATCATATAAATACAAAAAATGCGATGAGTTAAACATCAGAAAGCGATTTTCGATGGGGGAATTTAGTCATAACCCATGTCGCCGAAGCTTAACAACTGAACAAAATCGACCATCGAATTGTTTGCATAAAAATTGTAAAGAAAACACAACGTAAATCATAAAATGTATAACATATACACGTAGATGAATATGAGACTCTTATTATGATTATTGTTCAAAGGAGTACAAAATATAATCGTGAGAAAATGTTTCTAAAGTGAAGAAAATAAAACATAGCTGTTGTCTGTTGTCTGCGTGATTGCCAACTTGTTGACTATAACAACTCGCCGTTAGGTTATTAAAAATACCAATGTCAAATGATACTCAATAACAAGAAAAAGTTATTCTAGAAGTTAAGTAAAACATAAAAAATATCTTTTAGGCGCGATAAAAAAAATTGTTATCTAAACTAACGATTACACTCTCATAAATTTGAAAATACACACTTCATTATAATAAACTCACTCACAAAGATTTGAACTACATGTGCCGGATGTGAGGACTGTGCCGGAAGCGTGACAGCTGTGCGTTAATTTCTTTGTCCCCTGTGAATAAGGCGATTGCAACAAGAGTGTGTCGAAAGCTAACGTTATTAAATATCATTTTTCATAGTTACCAAAAGTTAAGTTTAGAAAAGCACCTTTGCATTCTAAGTTGAGCTTACTATTATATATATTTAGGGTAAACTAGTACAAAGTTGAATCATCATACTCTTTAGGGAGTCATTGAGACCTCAATGATAAAAGATAGAATCAAATTTAGAAGACGTATTAAGTAAGAATTATGTAACAGTTTGTAATTTCATCTCATGATTTTGGTTTTCTTTAGTGCTAATCTCTGCTTTTTTGGGCTTGATGGGCCACTGTTGGCCTTAGGGGCCTTTACAGTTCCGACGTACATGAGGTGGCCTGGCGCTAGGGGCGCCTAGCCTGAACCTCGGCGTATTATTATTACGCGTGACTAAGCTCGCGGGCTCCCGAGGGAGCCTCGATTCGGGCTGTCACGCTATTAGTTTCACCGGTTTGGGAGACTACCAAGCTCTTAGGGCGCTTTGGCGGACGCTCCATGGAGTGACTAGGCTCAAGGGTCCCTGAGAGGGGACCTCGGCTTGAGCTGTCACTCAGTACGCGTTTAGCAGAGGGCTGGACCTCGGCTCAATCGGTAGCTGTAATCTGACTGGACCAATCTGTGTATAATATCTTTTTTCTATAAATTTTAACGAGGAATAGTTAGTTAATTTTATAAATTTTAAACTGAGACAAGCAATTCCACCACAACGCCACCGATTTTTCGTATCAGCGAAAATGTGACGGAGTAGTTAGCAATTAAGCTCTAGCATTATTATAGAGTTTTCAGCAACTACTGATTCTGGGAAAATCAATTAATTGCGCTGAGAGTATATTGAAAAATACTTATGAGATTTTCTTAGAAAAAGTAATTGTGTTGGAACTTGATTTACTTTACTAAAACACATCGTATTAGAAGACCATTAGAGATCATCTTTATGAGAGCGAAATCTTAATCTTACATTAATAAAATTTAGCTGGATCAATGCCTCCTAAGTGGACTAGCAACTCACGCGGGATGTATTTTAAGCACTTAAGAGAATCGCTACCCAAATCAATAAATAGCATTAAAGCCGTTACTTATCCATACACTATTTTCTTATTTTAATGCTAGTCAGTACTCACGATGAAATTTAAAAGTTTAATAGATAAACTGTTGAATATGCAAAACAACAGTAGATACTTGTTTTTTTTTATGTGAAAAATTGCCAAGGGGGCAGACGGTTCACCTGACGTTAAGCGAATATCGCCGCCTACGGACATCTGCCACCCGAGGGTTCCAGATGCGTTTCGAGGCTGCTGCGTGGCGCTACCACCGTAAAAGATATCCTTTAAAGGATAAAAGATTTTCGTAAATAAGGATATCTGAAGCTTAGCTCAGTTGAGTTACACGTCTGGGGGTGTTAACCAGAAGGTGCCGGTTTGAATCCTGGGCAACGCCAGAAATATTTCTGACAGCTTATCTGTTAATCTCGCATGCATGTGCAAAAAGTTTATTTTCCGTGGGTCATTTGGATGTGTGCAAATGTTTAACTCGGCAATTTTCACTCGAAATTCACTGGTGATTACACAATAACAAGTATTTACTCATCGATATCTGCGTGGAACATTTTCTTCGACATATTAATTTCTTACTGGCAACAACGCTGCGGGAATTCTTTATATTCATAAGGGAATGTGGGATTCCAATTACCGAAATCCCTGCTCATAAAAGCTATTTGTCGTCAACGTTTCGAATGTGAATGTGAAGAGGTGAATCACCTGGGGCGGCAAAGAAACAAAATCCTTATATTTTAATAATCCAATAACCCGCTTCCGCAAAATTAATATAAATCCATATTTTTTATTTATTTAAAGATCATACATCTCACTGCAAAATTATCGTGACGGTGTGAACATAAATCATGTTGATTTTTCGCATTTATTTTACACTTATATTAGTTTTTGAGAAAGTTTTTAATGTAATGCGTTTAATTCTACGTTCACGATCGTATGAGAAAAATGTTCATCAAACTTTAAACTAATAATAAATAACTAAACCGTATGTATATTTTTGAATTCGACATCACGGGAACGTAAACTCACTTACATAGTACATTGCAGTGCTTTCGCTCGCGTAGGTGTTCGTAGCAGCTACGTAGTCAGTCGTAGTTACGGTGCCGCGTAGAATATACGCGTTAACGCTTCTCTACGATCACGGAAATGATACGCGAGTCCGATTACGGACGGTCTTTATTCTTGAACTAATGTTCTTCTCTTTTTTAATAAAATGTATGTAATAAACGTTTTCTTATAAATCAGACAAAATTTCTCTGATGAAATATGTAAGTTGTTAACTTGAATATTTGTAATAGCTCACCTTTGTTTATTTAATTTCTAATACAAATTGTTAGCAAATTGGAATAGATCCCTTTTAATTAAAAGCTAAATAATTAATCCATAATTGTTTTGGAGTGAATTGCCAATGATGGGAAAATAATGAGGTAAGTTACTATAGTAAATTTTCTTAGTGAGATTAAATAACATTTATATATCGTTTAGAATTATGTTATTTGAGAATTAAGAAATTTTAATTTTCACAAAGTAAAAAGAAATTTAATTGAAAAATGTGCAGTGTTTCAAACGCCGTGAATTCAAAACCATTGCCAATGGGAAATGAATTCAGCTGCCACCATACTGCGTGGGATAGATTATTAAATAATGTGTCAATAGTTGTTATTTGATTTTGTTAACAGTTTCTGTTCAATAAACAATTCTATTTTTACTAGAATTCAATTTCAGACACAATTTAGGGTCTACCTTTTATGCCAAAGGGTACCATTATCAATCTGTTGTTTTGACTAATTAGTGTAGACTAATAGCACATAGTGTTCAAAACGTCGAGAATTAGGAAATAATAAGGAAAAAGAATAATAAGATATTAGTTTAAGAATAAAATATTAGTTTCACATAAGTACAAATCCAAATTAATATATCTTTATTCGATATTACACTTACTTATTGATTGTCAAAACACTACTACTGGATCGAAAAAAAAAAGCCTGGGACAGTGTTTTTACCATTATTTGAAAAACATATATAGAAAAAAATTTTAGTAAAGTCCACCTGAAACAGCCTGAAAGGATAAATTCGTTTCCAGGGTGCGTTATTATTTATCACCTATCACGTAACATCTACGATATGCAGGTCGTGGCAATAAATATTAGCGTGGCAACAATTATAGAACTATTGAAATTTTTGACAACTTGTGAAAAATCAGAAAAAGTGATATCTTATTATTATAGTTATTTCCACAGTATAATTTCTTATGGCATTCTTCTCTGGGGAAACGCGTTCGCCATATGTAGAATATTTATTCTTCAAAACACAGCTATTCGAGCAGTTTATATAACCTAGGCTACGAATCACTAAGAATTTTGAAAGAATACTCTGCCATTCCGTAGTGGGGATGCGTGGTGAACTATGCCCTAATACCCTCACAGTGAAGGCTGTTATAATTTTAGAAATTTGATTGCGTTATGAGAGTCGATTGTCATATTTATGTGTGTTACCACGACTTTGACCGTCTGACTTAATTTCATTATTATATGGTTCTATTTGTTCTTGGTACGACTTGTATTGAAAATGGTAATTAAAAATCTAAATAGATTTTCTGAAGATAATATAAAAATTCTTGTTGCATCTTGATGAAGAATAACCCTTTTAACATGCCACTATCCACCTTTCAACAAAATTGTCAAGTTGAAAAGGCGACTTTTCTACTTTATTGAGATTGGATAAACTAAAAACTCATTCAAACGCCCGACCACAAAGTCGCTACAAAAGGCAAACATTTAATTTTTTGTTACGATTAACAAATGGAATTTAGTTTGGAAATATATTACAAAAACACGCACTTTGTAATTTTATATGTGGTATATGCTACGTACACCGTTGTTTTCATATGTATCATTAATTTGTATAATTAATAAAATGTGCTGTGTCAATGTCCAATATAAATGAATTGATTGTACTTTGAATAAGTAAATAATTAAATTAATAGCGCTAAGTCCTAGCCTAGTTTCAGCGTGTTCACAGATTAAAGTCAACGAGCTATATACGAATATGGAACTCAACTCGAGTGCGTGCGAGACCACCGCTACCCTGAAGCTAGGCTGTGATGCCAGCAGTGCCCGTAATCACACGGTTGAGGAGCTGGTTGCGCGGGACCAGCACGCGGTGATAGTGACCTACTGGGTGCTTATGACGCTCGGCGGTCTCGGCAATCTCGCCGTTCTGACGAGCCTGGCGAGAACGCGACGCCGCAAGTCCAGGGTCGACTTGCTGATGACCCACCTCGCGGTGGCAGACATCTCCGTCACCTGCGGCGTTATTCCACTCGAGGTGAGATGTTTTGAACTACCTTCAATGGTTTCGAAAGCTAAAATTACCTCTCTGCCTGTGGTACACGCAACAGTCTACGCTGTGGTAGGAATGGGCAGGTCCGTCCGGTGAAGTACCACGATGTCACCGAACAACATCGTGAATTAAAAGTATTATACTTCTGCGTTTCGTCTGGTGAATGAGGGTAGCTGGGGCCCACTTTATTGAAAGGTAGCAACGCATCTGCAACCCCATAGTTGTAGCGAATGTCAATGGGCGGTGGTTATCACTTAACATTAGGTGAACCGCCAGTTCACTTGTTCTCTTCGCACATATAGAAAATATAAAATCACAAAATAAAACACTTGCTTGCTTTAAAGTAAGTTTGAAGTTAGAAAACTGTATAACTACATTTTGCCGTTATTACTTAATAATTCATATAACAGTTACAAAAGTTCAATAAATATGTAGTTCATCGTGGCTTATAAAATTAGCACATGAAAGGGTTAAATTCCGTATTTCGATTCCATATAAACTAGAAACTCATTTTGTAGGATAAGTCTTGAGAGTTAAGGTGTTTAATATTTAACTAGTTTAGTTTTTAATACACCCAAAATATAAATTCCGTTGTGTTCTGTTAAAAAGTGTATTTATTTATTACATGCTTATCATTTTATTATAAAATATTGCTACTTATGTTTATATACAGAGAAATTTACATTTTCATGTAGCATATTTTATTTGTCGTTTTAACAGAAATAGTCAAATATGTGTTATAGATATTATGTGTTTAAAAAGAGGTCTACGAGCCTTCATAGCCCTGTACGTAGCCTTTGGTACAAAGCCTTTTGTACCAAACGCACTATCTATTAATCACCGTGTAAACCTAAAGGAAATTTACTGAAGATATAAACCTTTATTTGTACGAAATAACATTAAAAAAATGTACCTTTGCCTCTGAAATAAATTATTAACTCAAGAGAGCGTCAGTGCTGCTATTGCTTTCTATTGTGCCCAGTATAATAAGGGTTCCCAAGTAATATATTTGCTCATCGTGGGTGAGACGTGACATTAAAAGGACACATTTCATACTAGCTTTTCGCCCGCGGCTCCGCCCGCATGTACTGCATTTATATCGTGCTTAAAAAGTACCTACGGAACACTTCGTGCGGGAGACCGACTCGCACTTGGTTTGATGTTTTCCTTCACCGCGGAGCACGGCCTAATCCACAGACTGCCACGAAGCAAGATGCCACTTGCTTCCATTACATTCCCGCACATTTGCACAGGCCGTCACTCCATCTTGCGGAGGGTTGTTAATGTTATTTAATAATATATTCGGCGACAGATCGGCTGGAAGTACACGAACGAGTGGTTGGCGGGAAACGCTCTATGTAAAATACTGCTTGTGATGCGTGCCTTCGGCCTGTACTTGTCCTCCAACGTGCTGGTCTGCATATCGCTCGACAGGTGAGGCTTGATAAGTAATTTTTAGATTATCGTCTTACCACTTGGTGGAAGACATATCAAAGTCAAATTCTAAGGGACAAAATGTTCATAAGTTCATTTTTGTTCGATTTTTTTTAAAAACATTGCCCTTACTCTAGGGTGACATTAACCTGTGTTGCAAGAACGTAAATTAAAAAAAAACAAATTTCACGAGGACAGAATAGACGTAACTTAAATATTTTGTGCAAACACAGAGCACTTTTGTCTTAAAATATTGGGCTATTGTATGGTTGTGAACTTTCCAATCTCCTCTTTTAGGAACAGTTAGTTGGATTTCTAACTAAAATAACTTTTATTCAGGCTTAGCCACGAATGATATGAACACAAAGCGTTTTTATATAATTTGATTGCACACATATTTACAATAGGGTAACACTGTTCAGATTATTTCTCCTTGAGAAACCTGAGTTGTGTGAGTTCAATAGAAAGGAACTAGAGGAAGAACTAGAGTTAAGAAGCGATTTAATCTCTAAATTAATGAAAGTATGTATTAATTAGAGATTTGTTGCAGATTCTTCGCCGTGCTATATCCGCTGAAACTGCGTGCGGCGCGCAAACGCAGCAAGCACATGCTATTCTGCGCGTGGATTATGGCGCTGGCCTGCAGCTTGCCGCAGGTTAATAAGCTACCTTCAGTTGCACGCGCTCCATCAGAATGTGCTCATTACAGAGAATCTGTGATGAATTAGTCTACATAATATATGCTGCACAGGTTGTCCAAGTAGATTTTACAGTATCGCAGGATGTGCATCACCGGGAAGATTCTGTGATGAGTTAGTCTAAATATTATAGGCTGCACAGGTTATCCAAGTAAATTTTACAGTATCATCTCTCAATGAAATATTTTAGTAGTATTTAGTGGTTGGCTATCCTTAAACTTAGGATCACTAAGAGGAAGCACACCTGTAACTGCTTTGATATTTCATGTGCATGTATGGCGGTTATCTGTGGAAACCTCGGTGTATGGGGCAAAATAACCTTGGGTGCAGAGCGTGGTGTTCCGAGTCCTGGAGCACCCACAAGTGGCCGGTTTCGAGCAGTGCGTGTCGTTCGGCGCGTTCACGAGCGCCGCTATGGAGGTGGCCTACAACGTGGCGTGCCTCTGCGGCATGTACTTCGTGCCACTTTGCGTCATCTCCACCTGCTACGTCTGCATCTTCTGCAGGATACGCTACTGCAGCAAAGAATTCGAAGGTGGGTTAATAATCGATTTATTAGTACGACTTTGTGTCAATAGATGGCGGTGTTTTTGTTTGCATTATTTCATTAACCACGATGTTGAGATTTGTACCGTAATATAACCCCTGGTGTTTTGTGAAATAAACTAACTAACGCTACCAGACCACGGTGTCAATGATTTGTGAGTGTTTCTTTGCGACCCCAACCTTTGTACACTGTTCGAGGCGTGACGAGAACAAGGTGAACATTTGTTCAGTGGGCTTTGAACGTTGGCTAACCTATCACCTGTTTGATTGTCCCCAAATTTAGATAGTACACTTTCTTCTTTGTTTGATATTCTATCGGAAATACGATCTGATTAAAAGACCTAATTAATAATAATAACTTCTGAATTGTTTGTTGAAAGTTCGAAATTGTTTCATTTTATATATTAAAAATTACGGGTATTGAAAGCCAGAATGATCAATTTTGCATATTCTGATTGTTAACTTTGCCAGTGCCAGGTACACACAGTACCCAGCAAGGCACAGAAAAAAAATTAGTAGTTTTAAAGTTTTATTTAATAGTTTAATAAGCAACATTTGAAATTATTGTTCTCAGAGTCTTAAATAAATAATAAAATGTTGATTAGATTCCTCCATGAAAATTATTCGGCCTTCGAACGCTAATCTACAAACAACATTATAAAAATATTTTTCAAGATCACTTTATAATAAAAAACGTACCCCGTTGAGCTAAGTTTGTGTTTATTCGGGGAAATCTAGGAACAAATCTGTGAAAAGAGATTACCTAGAAGAGATTATCTATGAACATAATAGAAAAACAAACTACTGCAATAATAATATTTGCAAATTAAGTACGATAAAATTCTTCCTTCTAGAAGCTTCCATGACTTACTCCACGTGAATAATAAAATATTACAAAATTCGAAAAAAAGTCTCGGCGCTTTGAAAGTTAACTGATGAAAACCATTCTTATGATTATTATCAATGTTTAAAAAAAATTACCCTTAAAAATGCTTGATTTATTAAAGGTCTTTTACCAAGACATTAAGAGTAAATTATAAATATATTTAGTGATAAATAATAATAAGAAATATCTTATAGTTTAAACAGCTTAACAACACATACAACAACGCATATACACACTGGTAGTGGTGTCCATAGCGATTACATCCTTGTGTAATTAATTTGATGCGAGAGTATAATCTTTGTGCCATCAGGCAATTGCTCCCATGGAAATGGCGGTACCGGTGCTGGTGATAGTGGAGGTGGGGCCAGGGGCTGTGGCAAAAGTGACGGCATACCGTGTGTTCACCTGCGTCGCTCTGATCATCGGCTTCTAGAGCGCGCGCGTCGTCGAACGCTACGAATGACCGTCGTGATTGTCACAGTGTTCGCACTCTGCTGGCTGCCTTATGCCGTCATGGCCATGTGGTACGACGATTGCTCTGTTATTGTACTATTCACTTGAACCCCTGAAGATCTTCAGTAAAATCGTCTCTTTATCGCTCCTTATTCTAACAGAGTTTACAGTCATATTTTTGCCATTAATAAACTATTTTTGGCAAGGTATACAAATAATATCATTTTCTTCTGTTTTAATAGTCACAAAAGGGTTAGTTGCCACATTTGCCAAGATATTAGCATCAACGTCACGGGTTGTGGGTTCAATTCATACACGAGATGGACGTAAAACGATTTTACAACGAAGTTCGAAATCATGAAATCGTTACAGAGTTCTAAGGTATTTAAAATTACAAATGGAAAGAGAAAAGAAGATTTGCTAAGATGCATTTGTTTGGACACGATGAGATTTCGATTTAGGACGGAGGGGAAAGAGTTTATGGTGGGGAAGATAGAAGATGATACAACGAAAGTACATTGAAAAGTTGGTGACATCCCAATCAAGAGCAGCTTGAAAGTACAAGTGCTGGTTGAGCAGTATTCATAGATGAATGTCAGCTAAAAAAGGTAGGACCACTCAGCAGCCTCGGGTGTTGCAAGAATGGGTAGGCTCCTCCGGGTAAGTACCACGACCTCACAGAAGACCGGCGTAAAGTGGAAGTATAATAAATATTTTCGCGTTTCGTCTGATGAGTGAGACAGCCGGAGCCCAATTTTCAAGAGCAGATGTCCATGGGTGACGGTATTCACTTAACATCAAGTGAACCGCCTGCTCGCATGGCAACTTTTCACATAAAATAGCGTAAGGGGGCATTGGAAATGTGAATCTATAAATAAATTTTACAATTAATAATGACTATGAAATCCATATCAATTATTTACTACTTAAGGTACATGATAGACCGGAGCTCGGCATCCCAAGTCTCGTCACAAGTTCAGGATCTGCTGTTCGCGATGGCTGTCTCTAACTCCTGCATGAATCCACTGGTTTACGGCACGTATGCGTTGCGGTCTAACGACAGCTTACGGAAGCTACTTAAGAAGACATGCTGTTGGCCTACAAAATCCATTAACACAAAAGGTGTGTATGAAGTATTTTGTGTTATAATATTTGTTTGAGTATACTACTCCTTAGAGCCGTGACTTATCACGTGCTCAGCGGTGAGAAAAACATTGAACGAGACCTGCATATTTTCGAAATAATAACAAAAAAAATTTTTTTCGAAGAAGACTGTGAAGTCTGCCAATCCGCAGTAGGGTGGACTATACTCTATTAGAAGAAAGTCTCTGTATATTTAGGCCTTTGCCCAGCAGAGAGACATGTGTTGGCTCTGTTTTTTGACTTTACTACTCCTTGGTTTTAATCAAACACTAACTCTCACCCAAGTATCCTTTAACGCAAACGGAGTGGACAGATACTTTACTATATTCATAATTCGTCTGCCCTGCTTTGGTGGGTCAAAACGTAGCAAACGAAGTTGTAGTTTTTTTTATTTTGCCCATTTTACGGACTTTTAAATTAAGATAAATGATTATATTTATATATATATATATATATATATATATATATATGATATATTGTGATATGATTATAATAATATATATTTGTAGATATTGCCCATATAAAATCTTGAAAATGACATTTGATGGCTTCTTATTTGTAATGTCCTTTTATGCTTTTTATAGGAAATACAGGTTTGACGTCGCATAAATACGAAATGCGTAATATCGGCAATCCTGTAATAATATCTAAGGTAAGGCAACATATTAATGTTCCTTTTTTATTACGTTCGTTAATGTGGTTATTGTTTAAAGTCGAGTTGGAGTAAATCCTTAATAATATTATAAAGGTGAAAGTTTGTATGTATGGATGGATGTTTGTTACTCTTTTACGCAAATACTCGTACTACAGAATGGATTTTAATGAAACTTTACAATAATGTAGCTTATACATCAGAATAAGACATGTGCTATAATTTATAAACATATTTTATGTATATCTGTCTTTCTGTCTTAATGTTACGCCTTTAGCCTATTCTACGCAGACGTAATCGCGGGCAGCAGCTAGTATTTAATATTTCTTTTTAGCTTTTGAAATAAATGAATAGTAATTAGGTTTTTTGTTTACTTCAGTTATACGCCTTGGTTATTCTCATTTTTCACTTTTAGACATAGTTATGTAACAATGCCTAGACTATTTTAAATTTGTTTCTTTATTTATTCAGAGTCGTAGTGTTAAACAAAGACACAACAAAGACACATACAATCATGAAGAATTAATATTGAACTATAGTTTTAATTTAAATATAACTATGTGTTTTGCTGTTGGCATACCTAATAAAGAAAAAGAAAGATGGACCCTACAACCCTACGAGCGTAAGGTATATAAGGGCGGTTATCATTCAACATCGGGCGAATCGGCAGTTCAAATAAAGATTAAGCAACTTGAGGCCACGTGCCGCTCCATGGGCAGCGTTAACGTCAGGTGAACCGCCAGCGCAGACAAATACTAAGCGACTTGAGTTCACGTGCCGCGTTCGTGCAGCCCGGCGGTCAGCATCCTCGGCTGGTGCGGTTCGCGGAGACCCCGATGACGTCACAGCGCCTGGCGGAGACCCAGGCCCGCAGGGGGCCCGCCTGACAGCCCCCGCCGCGGCTCCGCTGCGCCACGCGCGAGCGCCAGCGCGCCCTGGACCAGTGCCGCGGGCCCCCTCCGCCCTAGTGTACGCCTGTCTCACCAGGCTTGCGCAGTGTCACGCATCAAATCAAATGAACATCATCTGTTCGTCGAAATAGGAAACGTACATTTCATCTATCGACAGTCATTTGTTTTTAAATCTACCACCGTTTCGTAATGAGTCTTCTAACGGAGAAGAAATCTTTGTTGTTTTTTTCTTCCTCAAAACATCAGTGTATCGTTCAACTCATTCCCAGGGGGTAGTGATCATTAATTTATTACTTTTTATATCATCATTATCCATTTTGTATCGTATTCACAGATTTGAATCTCGCGTAGAAACTCTTCACCTTCGGATATATAAATGAACCCTAGATCCATAGTTACAATGGTTTAAATTACGAGCGTAATTAACGAAAATAAAATGAAATAAAATTTTTACTAGAAATGTAGTAATATATTTTCACTGTGGTATATATTAATTTAAATTGTATACTAGGCAGTAATTTTGTTCACGATCAGAAAGGTATGTGTTTTACCTCAACTATCTGTCACACGACGTGACACTGTATGAGTCGTAGATATTAGTTGTTGTGTTATATATATTTATTTGCTACAAAGGTATCTCTTTTGTAGCAAATAAATATATCAGATTTCAATTCTTGTATCAATTTTAGTATATAAGTCGGATAAGATGTATTATGTTGGATGTGTATTGTACTATTTTAGTAGTGGAGCCATTTCTTTTGGTACTTATAAATCGTTTAGCTCGTAGCTGAGCGAATTTTATCGCGAATATATTATTTTAATGCTTATAAATGTTTTTACGGGTGCTATAATACTAATTGTAATCAGTTAAAGTGTCAAAAACTCGATGTAATAAAAATATGAGGATGATCTATATCTTCATAAACCTTATCGTTTAGGTACCTGTCGAATACATAGGTTTAAGCTGACGTACTTTTCCAATATAGATAAGGGTTCATTGCTCATTCTGTTGAGCACTAAAACACATACACACGCGCGCGCGCGCGCTCCCACACACATACATACACATAAACACACAGCTTTGATAATTTTGCTTTGAATAAAATTTTCTTTCAGAAAATTTTAACAATAATTTTTTATAGTTTGCTTGGTGTCAGAGATAAATAAAATGTGTGTTTTAAAATACTCCTTAATTTATACTGTACATAAATATGTTACATACATACAATACATATTGACGTTATTATAAATGAAGAGAATATAAAATAAATATAGAGTTTATAAATATTTCATTATATTCAATATTCAGTTAATAAATATTTCATGTTAAATATTGCCCACGGATTGTTAAAGCGTAGCTTTTTTAATGTTAAACAATTGATTGAAATAAATGTGATGAGTAAATTAAAGTTTTTTATTCGTTAATCAGGGTGATCGTCTGAGTCGTAAGAACGTATGTTACGTGTATTATATATTACGTTTTATCCACCGTTCTTAAAATATATGCATGCAATAATAAAAAAAGTAATAGGGTAAACTTTGAACAGTTTTAATGTACCCAAAAAACCTATATATAATTTGTGGTATTTTGTTAGTCTTACCTTTCGTTTTAATTTACCTTTCAGCCTTACTTTAATAGGAATAATCTAATATAAGAATTAAATCTAAAAATAAAATGAATATTTGAAAACATTTCTCTCTATCCAAATATTATGGTATCCGAGGGTAATAACAAAAGTGTTTTTTGTGATCAAAAGTTTTAAAGTATTGTTTATCAAAAATCTTTGAAATTTTCTTATAATAAGATAATAACATTTGATCTCTTTCTATCCATATGGAATCTTACATCCTTCGCTTATACTCTAAGCCAATATTTCTCAAGCTTTTTTACTGTACCGTCCACTTTAGGAAATACTGGTTACCCAACGCCCCCCAGAAATTCTTCATCTAAATTTTTTACAGAAATATGTAAAGTAAAAAAAAAGTAACAGCCTATACATGTCCCACTGCTAGGCAAAGGCCTCCTCTATACAGAGGGTATCAGGGCATAGTCCACCACGCGGCCCCACTGCGGATTGGCGGACTTCATATCTTCGAAAAAATATATTTTTTTGTTATTATTTCGAAAATATGCAGGTTTCCTCACGATGTTTTCCTTCACCGCGGAGCACGTGATAAGTCAGCACTTAAAGTTAAAAACTTCATTGGTGCCGGCACCGGGGATCGAACTCAGGTGGCTCGAGTATATTGAATTAAAGGCGAGCGCCAGGACACTGGGCTATCACGGCTCTAGAAATATGTAAGGAAATAAAAATAAAAAATAAATAGTATTAGGCTCTAGAAATATGTAAGGAAATAAAAATAAAAATAAATAGTACTTAAATTATATAATATATAATATTTAACGGCGGTAGGGCCACGCAGCAGCCTCGGCTGTTGCACGAATGGGCAGGCTCGTCCGGGTAAGTACAACCTCACAGAAGACCAGCGTAAAGTGGAAGTACCTATAGTACTTTCGCGTTTCGTCTGGTGAATGAGGTAGCTGGAGCCCAATTTTCAAAAGGTTGTCAACGGATCTCCAACCCTCGGGTGTAGCGGAAAAAAAAGGTAGTCTGATCAATATATCAAGATCACAATTTGTGAAGTCTGATCCGTCGTATAGGTTATCAAATTACTAATAAGTCTCATAACACTTGCCCTATTTTCCGTGCGTATTTCACAGGCTTTTTAACCTTTCAGACTGTTCGACAAATTATATTTTAACCGAAGGAACGTGACCTGAGTTGAATGTGGCAGATCAACTTATCATGAAATATAAATATTATTTACCTGTTCACTTGCACGGAGTTATGTTGTATGAAAACAAACTTGAACTGTGTAGATAACATAGTTGAAAAATTTTTATGGTGAAAAAAGCCGAACATACGCATCAATGTTGAAAAGTGAAAACAAATTGAATCTTTACGTTATTAAATATTATTTTTTGTTTCGGTGTTTCAGTTTATCGCCAGTTTTGCTATTGTCTTCGTGGGTGTATTATATTTCAAACACATATATCTCGTGACCGGCATGGGTTTCGAACCTTAATACTGCACGATTGCTTGGGTCAACGATATCAAATTAATTGGTGACCCGAAAGTAATTGAATTAAATATTTCTCAAATTGGTATATTCAGTTACAAAAAAGTGTTACATACGTATAGTTGAATTAATAGAAATATGTCAACACTATTTCTTTTGAGAAAACTTGTTTTATTATACTTAAATTAGAATCTTTATATGAAACAGTTTCACATTAGTTATTTAATAATAATTATTGTAATCCTTGGTATCTTTAGGTTTATTATATTCTCCAGCTACTATATGGTTATTCAAATGTCAAAAGCACATAAAAAAGAAAAGTCAGGATAGGAATTAATGAAAACATTATGGATTCCATCTTCAACGGTGGTAGGGCCACGCTGCAGCCTCGGCTGTTGCACGAATGGGCAGGCCCGTCCGGGTAAGTACCACGACCTCACAGAAGACCAGCGTAAAGTGGAAGTATGACAAATACTTTCGCGTTTCGTCTGGTGAGTGAGGTAACCGGAGCCCAATTTTCAAAAGGTTGTCAACGCATCTGTAACCCTCGGGTGTGGCAGATGTCCATGGGCAGCGGTATTCACTTAACATCAGGTGAACCATGTGCTCGTTTGACAACTTCTTGCATAAAATAAATAATTAAATAAATTCTAGAAACAAATGATAAATGCTATGTTAGCAATTAAAATTCTACGAAGTCTGGGGAATGTTTAAGAAAAATTTCAATGACATTAAAGTTTATGACTAATTTGGACATACAGACGAACAATTTATTAAAACATTCAAAGATCCCGTAAACATATCAGGACCAATACCTACAGTGTTACACTTAACATACGAGGTAAACGTCGAGGTCCTGAAGTAAAAGTCCGAAGGCGAAGTTGAAACCGCGGTTGCGGCGTAATGTGAAATCCTTTAAACTTAAATGATAAGGGGTTTATTGTTTTACCTCGACCTACTTTACTTGCTTGCGTTTATACTCGTACTAGAGTGGGGCGCAATATGTGTTTATTTCTGAGCACTATTATATGAGCCATCTGGAATATTGCATAATATATGTTAAAGTGCAATAAGGAACTTATTTTCCTGTAACGTTCTTTTTATTATAATCCTCGTCGGAAATCCCCAGACAGACGTCACCGCAGGTTTCCTTGAAGAGCCGGCTCTTCGATTTGTGTTTGTTATAATTAACTGATATTGTTGCGGCCCCTTTTTTATATGAGAAGTAGTCAAGCGAGAACGCGGTTCACCTGATGTTAAATGAACATCCCCGTTTAGCTCAGTCACCAGACGAAACGCGAAAGTTTAATGCCTCCCCTGCACGTCAGTTTTCCGTGAGGCCGTGCCACTTGCCCGGACGCGCCTGCACATTTGTGCAACAGCAGAGGCTTTTGCTTGGCCCTACCACCATTTTTGGGTCGTGTTTCCGAGTGAGCATTCGTAGTTGGTCTGAAATAGCTCAACCGATTCTTGCTGTCGCTGACCGGTTTTCTTCTTCTTTTTTAACACAAACATTGCCCTTATTTCAGGATAACATTATCCGGTGTTGTAAGGACGTTTTACAAACATAAATTTCATGCGGAGAAACACCCAGATGCGAAACAACTATCTGTGGGTCACAAAAATAGTTGTCCCGTGTGGGAATCGAACCCACGATGTCGAAGCCAATACCTTTATTATATAGGTAGTTAGTATATTATTTGAAGTTATAAACAGAAAACACATTCCAAAATATTTTTAGGTAATGCCATAATGATAAATTATTTATTCTTAATAATTATAGCTGGGCAGAAATATAATGCCAAAAACAAACAGACTCATTAAAAATAAATACAGTTGTCAAAAAATCAATAATTATTGAAAGTCCTATATTTTGTAAATGAAACTAATTT